GGAGGCCAGCAGGATAGCAGAGGACCTCTAGAGTTCAAGCTCCACAAGTCCTCTGGAGACACTGATGGGCATATTCCCGGTTTTGTTACAGAAGTAGAATGTAGTCATAAGAAATAATTTGATAAGCACAAAGGTAGAAGGAAGCATGAGTCATTGTCTCACCACCTGAGAAGTTGAAAACAAGTGGTTTAAGGGCAAGTGGGACTATAGGTGATGGATCAAGCCCAACAGTTCCCAGTCGGCTGGAGCCCACAGTTCACACCAAGTGATAGTCTCATCGGTTTAGAAGGTGACATTCAGGTAAGCCTGCCATGCCAGTGCTTGGGCAAAGGCCATGTTCATGGGGAGAGGAGCATATCCACAGCCCTCACAAGCCCCAGACCCTAGATGCAAGTGGTACAGGAGTTCCAAGGCACCTAGTGTTAGGGGAGAACTGCAATGTACCTATAAGCTCTGGCCACCTGCTGACCTCCACCCCCCATCCTGGAGGTTTTGCTTCTACCTCCCTCTCTGGGACTGCCAGGCATTTGATTAAGGCTGAATTGTTCAGTGCCTGTTGCCATTCATTTTGTCAGCATAGCCACTGAGGACTTAATGGGTGCCAACTCATGACTGGCCCTACCACACAACTGGAACTGATGTGGTATGCCCTTCTGTAGCCTTGGGGACAGAGCCTGATCTTGTGGGGGTGACTGTGGGTGCTCATTTTTCTTTTGTGTAAGTTTTAGTTGAAACTTTTTTTTTTTCACAGCTTGGTCTCAAAGGGAAAGTAGAGTAGGAGTGAAGCAGGGAGCGCTCACTAAATGCCAGTTACTGAAGGAGAAATTTTTCCACCAAATTCTCCAATAAAGATCAAAGAATCATCCCCCACTTCAGAGATCCCTACACAGAGGTGAAATAAATCAGGAAGAAGGAATTATCTACCAGTGCACATATAGGTTCAGTTAAATATTCTTATTATAAGATATAAAAGAGAAAGGAAAATGCAGTCCCCGCAGTGAGATTTTGGTGCTAGGATTCACAGCAAAGCAAGGGCTTTAGTCAGTAGGCCCAAACAGTTCAAGGTTGACCTCCTTACAGTTAATCACCCTTTCACTAAACCAGGGGAAGACAAGGCCTGCCTCAAGATGCCCTAACAACATTTCTCCTAGGCAACTAGGTTGGAAGACCATAATCAAGGTTCTTTTGGGGGTCATTTGCCTACTTTTCCTAGGCTGGGAAAGAAGGATGGAACTTGGGCTGAGACCACCCAGGTTATTTCTAAAGAGCCCTCTGCCTGACAGCACTAAGGAAAAAACTCTGGTTCACATGTCCATGCCTAAGATATGTTAAGAATTATAGCTCTATCTAATGGGAACTTAATAATCTCAATTTTTACTTTTCTTATTTTGATTCCCAAAGGTGACGTATTCTTGTTACCCCTGCTGCCTCAGCTGGTCCTGTCTGTGGGCAAGGCTTCAGGCCCACCTCCCTCCCTGACAAGACCACATATGCAAAGGACTCTGCCCCTAATGCTGACATTGTGAGAAAAACTAAACCAAAATGAGAAAGGCAGCCAACATACTGCCACCCTTGGACATGAAAGTCCTAACTTGGAAGGAACAGAGTAAACTTTGGGGAAGAAACAGAACCTCATTGGGCTTTTCACTTAAATAAATGAATAAATAGGCTCTTTCACTTGCTTGCTCTTTATTTTAATGAAAAGCAGCCCAGAGAGATTGTTTTTCTTCCCCAAGAAATATGAATGGGGAAAAAAAAAAAATATATATATATATATATAAAATAAAGTTTTTTAATATATGATGTTATAGATGTAATACATATTTTTCTATTTATTTTCTATATATAGAAATACATATATAATCTCCATGAGGGCAAATTTTTTAGTGTGCATTCAGTATTCATTAAAGGAAGCAATTTCCATATGACCACAATCTGCTTGAGTTCTAAAACCCTTGCCTCTTTACGATTTGTGTTTAGTCTTACTCCTACAGAACCAAAAGGTGTCCCTTAACTAGTCAAGGATAAGAGCCATGACTAGATAACATGATACCTAGACTACAGTCCTCAGACTCCAGAAGTTGAATCTCCAGACAAAAAGGTACCCAGCAGAGATTTGAGCTGAGCAACAGAGAAACACCAAGTTACCTGACATTTAGAATAATATAAATTTCATTTCAGATGTGACAATGTGTATTTTCAGTGCCCTTTACTACAAATAGCAATGCCTCAGAGGATGGCAGTGATAATGAATCCTCCCAGTGCCCATGGAATAGGTAAGCCTCAGGTCCGCATGAATCTTGGAAAATCCTTGCCTCCACAACGGTAGACAATTCATCAGGTGGGCTATAAACTCTATAAAGAACACTGTAAAAAGCAATTTTCTGGGTAATATAAAAGGGTATCACGGTTAACTGAGCACCCTAAACTGTACTGTTAGTACTTGCTCCTCAAAGTCTTGAGACTAAAGTCATTAACAGAAAGGATGCTCTGTAGTTGTTACTTGAAGGTTAACAGTTTACCGTGTCCCCTCCTATGATCTCGTGATTCTTACACCGTGCTGGACAGCACTGCATATATCAAGGCCACTATCTTGCAGTGAGCTCCAGCTTCAGCATAAGAGTGGGCTATTTTGCCTACACTACAAGGACTGCTGCAATGCAAAAATTTAGATTTCTATGCCACTTTCTATCCAAAAAAAGGATGAAACTTTAAAATACTGCTTAATTTTATAGATGAGATAGCTACAACATTTTTTAAAAGATGAGAAGAAAGCTTACGCTGAGGAAATGATGAGAAAACCCATTAGAAAATGGTTATCAGAAAATCTGCTTTTGATTAACTAGAGACACTGTAGAAGAATGGGGGAGGGGAACATGCAATCAGCGCACAATTTAAGCTTGCTTTATGCAATGGATACATTCCTGACAGGATACTATTATTTTAATAGGGCACTGTATCTTAGAAAATAGGATCCGCGATGAGAAACCTGTGAAAGATGCATTTTAAAAGTGAAGAGCCCCACTCTGATATTTCTCAACTTGTAAATTTGATTTTTAAGCCTCACAAATCTGTGTAGGTAACCAGAATAGAAAGAGGCTAGGCCACATTCGAGGAATAGGCTGAGGCTCACTGAGCACTGGCTTATCCCTGCAATTTCTTCATTCTTCGTCTTTTGCCGCAGTTCTTCTGTATTTCTATGACCTCCATTTCCCAGGTAAGGCTAGGGAAAGAAGTGGCTTGCCCGATTAAATCAGAGATCCTGACCTCATTTGGCCTACCCTAGTGATTGCTACAGATTAGAGCCAGAAGCTGCAGAGATGCGGCCCATCCAAAGTGTAATACTTGTCCTTAGGCTTGAGCAGTGGGTGAGAGGCATCTCACTCGTCTGTTCCTAGGCATCGTGCTCCCACAGCCAGCTCTCCTCTTCAGCATTCCTGGTTTCTTAGTTACCTGGGTCTACCGGTATGTTCAGCTAAGACAGGGTCCACTGTCTTATTCACCATTATCCCAAATACCAAGCCCAGTGATGAGTGAATTCTGCTGTGACTGTTAATTGCTGACCCCAAATGAAGTCCCTCTCTCAGTATTTATGCCTGGAGGTTTAAGTTCTTAATGGTAGGTATTAAATAGAGGGCTCCTGGCTGGCTCAGTTGGTAGGGCATGCAACTCTTCATCTCAAGGTTGTTTAAGTTTGAGCCCCAAATTAGGTGAAGCGATTACTTAAACATAAAATCTTAGGGACACCTGGGTGGCTTAGTCAGTGAAGCATCATCCTTCAGCTCAATCCAGGGTTCTGGGATCAAATCCCTCATCAGGCTCCTCGCTCAGCAGGGAAGCCTGCTTCTCCCTCTGCCTGCCGCTCTTACTGGTGCTCTAACAAAATCTTGAAAAAATATTTTTTTTTAATAAAATAAAATCTTTAAAAAAACCAGTGAATGAATGAGAAGAGGGAGAGGTTAAAGAATAGATACATTAACTAAGTGGGAAAAACTGATATGAGAATTTCAGAGCAAGACAGCATTGCATTAAACAAATATTTCTTCAGGGACTATGTGCAAGGCAATTGCTTAAGTCTAGAAGACCAAAACCTTCAGGGTCCCTGTAGAAAAAAATAATGTGGGCTTTACTCAGCTGCCTGAGAGACCTAAAAAATGTATAGATCAGCTAGGCTGCCTGGACCAAGCTATGGCATGTGGTGTCCACTTTAAAATAAGGCCAGGTGACTTTTTATAAACTGCACTCTTCCCATGAGCTAGGGTACCTGAGACCTATGATTTAATTCTCACTCATCTTTAAAAAAAAAAAAAAAGAGGGGCGCCTGGGTGGCTCAGTGGGTTAAGCCGCTGCCTTCGGCTCAGGTCATGATCTCAGAGTCCTGGGATCGAGCCCTGCATCGGGCTCTCTGCTCTCTAGGGGAGCCTGCTTCCTCCTCTCTCTCTGCCTGCTTGTGATCTCTCTGTCAAATAAATAAATAAAATCTTTAAAAAAAAAAAAAAAAGAGTGTGTGTGGCCAGTGGCCATAAAGATAGCATAAACTTCACAACGAAATAAGGATATAGGGCCGCCTAGGTGGCTCAGTCAGTAGAAGTGCCTACCTTAGGCTCAGGTCATGATCTCAGGATCCTGGGATCAAGCCCTGAGTCGGGCTCCCTGCTTGGAGTCTCCTTGTCCTTCTTCCTTCTGCCCTCCCTTCTCATGCTCTCTTTCTCTCAAATAAATAAAATCTCTTTTTAAGATTTTATTTATTTGACAGAGAGGGTGATAAAGCACAAAGGGGGAGCAGAAGAGAGGGAGAAAGTGGGTCCCTGCTAAGCAGGGCTTAATCCTAGGACCCTGAGAACATGACCTGAACTGAGGGCAGACACTTAATCGACTGAGCCACCCAGGTGCCCCTCAAATAAATAAAATCTTAAAAAAAAAAAAAGGAAATAAGGGCTGGTTTGCCTCAGTGCCGGGTGGGGAAAGACCGTAAAACAGAATTAGACTTGAAAACATTATTGAATAGTCCAAATTGTAAAACTCACTACCTGCAATTATTACAACATTAAAAAAAAACAAACATTTTTAACAAAAAATTTGACATTCAAAAAGTGAAAAAAAGGGCATGATTTATAAATACATAAATATCCATGCACACTTTTACAATGATAGGTACTGGAAGAATGGACCTTTTAAAATTCCAATCTAGACAAGACTGTCATTCCAACTTTCCTCCTCTTTCCTACATGTTGGAAATACCAGGAATCTTAAGAGAGCTGCTGTGGTCCATGTCACATTCATCCCAGCCTCCTTCCTAAGCCTGTAGCTGATGGTGAAAATGTGATGAATCTTCTGCCTCAGCTCTGATGCTGGGAAAAAAAAGAAAAGGTTATTTAGCCATGTAGTCCAGCAAATCAAACTTTTAAATTAAAATACAGCAGTGAGGGTGGGTTATGGACATTGGGGAGAGTATGTGCTATGGCAAGTGCTGTAAAGTGTGTAAGCCTGACAATTCACAGACCTGTACCCCTGGGGCTAATAATACATTATGTGTTAATCTAAAAAATAATAAATACGTAAAATACAGCAGTGAGGGGCGCCTGGTGGCTCAGTCGGTTAAGTGTCTGCCTTCCACTAAGGTCATAGTGCTGAAGTCCCAGGATCAAGTCCCACATCAGGCTCCCTGCTCAGTGGGGAGGCTGCTTCTCCTTCCTCAGCCTCTCCCCCCACTTGTGTTTTCTCTCTCGCTTACTCTCTCTCAAATAAATAAATCTTTTAAAAAATAAAACAGGGGCGCCTGGGTGGCTCAGTTGGTTAAAGCCTCTGCCTTCGGCTCAGGTCATGATCCCGGGGTCCTATGATCGGGCCCCCCATCGGGCTCTCTGCTCAGCAGGGAGCCTGCTTCCTCCTCTCTCTCTCTGCCTCTGCCTACTTGTGATCTCTGTCAAATAAATAATAAAATCTTTTAAATAAATAAATAATAAAACAAAGCAGTGATAGAATATGTACTACCTAGATGGAAAGTAGACTCAAATTATTTTACTACATACAGAAAATTCAACAAAACATTGAACATACCATCTATTTGGAAGCTAGAGCCTAATTTTCTTGTCTTGAGACACCTGTGATCTATAAATGTTGAGAATTTAAAGTGATAACAGAAATACCTGAAATATACCTTTCTTCATGGCATGCTCTTCAGTGAAGGGTGTTCTAAAAGCAGAATCACATAAACATACACTGTTCTAAATTAAAATCAGTTGAATCCAGGTAGTAATTCACAAGATTTCACACTGACTCAGGATATTTAGGAGATGTGAAGGTTATATATTTTTGGATTTCACACTATTAGAAACTGTAAATGCATGTCTTCAAATAGTGGCAAACTGAAGCAGATATATTCTTTCTGGGTGCTCTCTAGCACCTTTAGTAAATTTAAACTTGGCTTTAGACAACTTTTAAGCTGGGTGTGAAGAAATCATGTTGGCTGTCACCTTGTATTTGGATTTCCTTAACATTTAGCAGTATAAGTGAATCAATCTGAGAGTCTTTTCAGTAATCGGAGTTTTCAAGGTATGACCTATTTCCTAGCTAAGTCTGTCACTCCAGTCTTTGAGCAATGAAAAAGCAAAATTCTTCAGGAAAAGCAAAATATGAGAAGTCTTTCCCCTTTTAGGAAAATGCAGTATCACCTAAAGAAACCATCATTACTCCAAAGGAAAAGAAAATCCCCTAAGACATCTTTCAAATTTCCCATAGGACAGACCAAGACTACGACAGCACAGAAGCTGCCACAGCTCTGGCTGCTGCAAGTATGGCCTTTGATACAAGGTCTTGGCATGGGATTTACTCATCCTGAGCTCGGGGCAACAGACTGGCCTATGGGGTGAGAATCAGCTTTTCTGTCTTTTTCTAGTGGATAAAGGGGAAAAGGTAGATCCAGTAATCTGACAAGCTGAATTTGTTTTATTACTCCAAAATACTTGCCACTTTATTTATTTATTTATTTATTTAAATTTTACTTATTTTTTGAGAGAGAGCGAGAGGTAGAGAGCACAAGTGGGGGGAGAGGGAGAGGCAGGCTCCCTGCTCAGCAGGGCTCTATCTCAGGACCCTGGGATTATGACTCAAGCCAAAGGCAGAGGCTTAACCCACTGAGACACTCAAGCACCCCTATTTGCCGCTTTAAAATCACATCTTTCACCACGGCAGTTGCTTTTCCATTACCTTAGAGCTTGCCAAAATTGGATATAATACACAGAAAAGCACTTCTTGAAATGCAAGTATGCTTGTTTTCCTGCCTTCTTGTTCCCATTTCACATCCAGTCACTTTCCGTACTGCCATTTTCCTTGTTGGATAAAAATGTTCTCAAGAAAAATGGGCCAAGAAATTAAGTTCACAAATTCTTTCTGTGAGCCAATAATGATAGCTTCCTAGTTAATCACTCCTCTTTCTCCTTAAGACAATGGCTTGGAAATATTAACTCTGACAGTCCTAGTAATGACAGCGTTCCTGAGTGAGCTGCTGCCTTTTGTTAATTACTGCTCACTAGTGGATAAAGCTGGTCCACCACAAAGACAGCTAGTAGAGGTGCCTAGGGTTGACTGTTCAGGTAACTGAGATTGTTTGCTCAATATATTTGTATTGAATCCAAAGAAAAATCATACACTGCAACCGTTTGACAAATACCACCTATCAGAGAACAATGCTCATTTCCTCTCTCAGACAAAAAAATAGTAAGAGTTGGATAGACCACAGAGATGTATTTGCCTCAAAACTGTAGAATATGTATAAATTTTTAAACCTATTTTTTTAAGATTTTATGTATTTATTTGAGATAGAGAACAAGCGAGAGAGTCAGCATGGGCACAGAGAGGGGTGGAGGGGGAGAAAGAAGCAGGCTCCCCACAAGCAGGGAGCCAAATACAGGACTCAATCCCAGGACGCTGAGATCATGACCTGAGCCGAAGGTGGATGCTTAACCAACTGAGCCAGGAAGGCGCCCCTTAAATCTTACTTTAAAGAAATTATGTCCTAAGTTACCTTCACTGTCCAGTCTCAAGATGCCAACAATGCCAGGTGATTCATTTCTACTTGCGAGCTGGCTTTAAAACCCACCTAAACTCTAATTTTAGAGCGGAGCATCTATTCTAGGCAGAACTACGACAAACACTTTCAGGTGCATGGCTCAGTATCAAGGGTTTTTTTTTTTGGTATGTGGGCTGGCAATGTTACTTAATGTTTGCCAGCCTCTATTACATGCAAAAACTTCAGACAAGAGACAGAAGAACTGCTGGGAAGTCCCCAAGACTCTTTCCAGGGTGGGCTTCAACGGAGAAGGGACAGCCTTCAATACCACACAAGTCTGTCACAGCACACACATCAGAAGATTCCTTCTCAGGATCGAAATAAATAGAAGTCTTAAAAACTGGCAAAACTCTACATACCCTTTAAGGATCTCACTTCTCAGGATTAACTGAGTTTCATTTTCATTGGTATCAATAGTCTAAAACTTGGCTACTAAGAAAACTTAAGTTTTATTTGAAGGAAGCCAAAACACACATAATGCAAAAGTGCTCTAGAAGTAGAGGCTCCCCGCAGGCTTCTTCAAGGTAGCTAGGTGAGTATGACTAGGCTGATGGCATGCATACCAATTACAAAACCTCCTTAGTTTCCCTTGGTCTGCGACCCAAACACCATAAAGGGTTCTGATCTCTTAATAGTCCAGAAAAACTATAAGGACTATGGCTACATATTAAGACAGAGAAGTATAGGGGCGCCTGGATGGCTCAGTTGGCTAAGCGTCTGCCTTCAGCTCAGGTCACTATCTCAGGGTCCCTGGGCTCCCAGCTCAGCAGGGAATCTCTTTCTGCCTCTCCCTCTGCCTCTCCCTCTTGCTTGTTCTTTCTCTCACAGATAAATAAAGTCTTAAAAAAAAAAAAAGAAGTATAACAAAATTTACTTGAAAAAACAAGTTTTAAGGACGGCAAAATACCTCTTAGGAGTAAAAAGCAAGGAAAGAATCTGCCACAAGCAATTAGGAAGTAAAAGCTGATCCTAGTCCTGCATGGGCATACTCAGGCAGCAAGCAACTATCTAGCTGCCCCAGGGCTGAGCCCCAGGAAAACTATTTGAAATCAAATAGGGTGTACTCTTTTTTGAGACTGAAGTACTTTCTGGGAAGCTGATAAATTAATGTCCACAGATAAATGAATGGATAAAGATGATGTGCTGTTATACATATACATAATGGAATACTACTCAACAAAAAAAGATCTTGACATTTGCTACATGGTTGGGCCTAGAATGCATTACACTAAGTGAAATATGACAGGTGAAGACAAATACAGTATGATTTCACTTATACGTGGAATCTAAAAAAACAAATGAACAAATAAAACAAAACAGATTCATAGATACAGGAAACGAACTATTGGTTACCAGATGGGGGCGGTGGGCAACAGAGGTGAAGGGGATTAAGACGTACAAACTTCCAATTATAAAATAAATTAAGTCATGAGGATGTGATGTACAGCACAGAGAATACAGTTAGTAAGACTGTAACAGTTTTACATGGTGAAAGATGGGTAACTGTTAAGAGATTATTTTATAATGTATAAAAACATTATGAGGTATGCCTGAAACAAATAGGATAATGTAGATCAATTATACTTCATTAACAAATTTTAAAAAAATTTTAAGATTTTATTTATTTGGGACACCTAGGTAGCTCAAGTCATTAAGCTTCTGCCTTCAGCTCAGGTCATGATCCCAGGGTCCTGGGGTCGAGCCCCATGTCAGGCTCCCCGCTCCTTGGGAAGCCTGCTTCTCCCTCTCCCACTCCCCCTGCTTGTGTTCCCTCTCTCACTGTGTCTCCCTTTGTCAAATAAAGAAGTAAAATCTTAAAAAAAAAATAAGATTTTATTTACTTGACAGAGAGAAAAAGCGCACAAGCAGAGGGGGCAGCAGGCAGAGGGAGAAGCAGGCTCCTCAATGGTAAGGAGCCTGATGCAGAACTCGATCCCAGGACCCTGGGATCATGACCTGAGCTGACGGCAGATGCTCAACTGACTGAGCCACCCAGGTGTCCAATATTTTTAAAATTTTTTAATGAAGGGCTTAGATCCTTGGAGAGTAAACAATATATTCTAACACATCAACATAGAAGCAGGGGCCATTAACTCTATACCATTTCAAATGCACTTAGAAATCCTGTTTACCTTTTTCATTAATTCACTTCTGGTAGTAAATTGTGGCAGGTCTTCCACTTCAATCCCATCAGCCATTTCCATCACTTTGTCTAAAAGGTCTTTGTTGTAACTGCACAATAAAAAGTAGTAAGATAAAAACCTTGGAGAAATTACTTGTCACTGTGGGCTAATGAGAAATTGCAAGTAGCTCAACTCTCAGCCTTCTGATGTGATAGTACAGGGAAATGGATACATGCTCAGCATCAGGTGAGAAAACCGTTCCTCAGGCTTGTGGATTCATAAGTGGCTGTAGGAATGCCAACAGAACAGGTATTTCAAGATTTACCAAAAAAAAAAAAAAAAAGAAAAAAAAAGATTTACAAAAATAGAGGCACTGTATATCTGGCAGTACATATTCATGGACACAGTATGAGGGCCAAAATTTTTTTTTTTAAGCACGTGCAATGTTGGTCTAATGTAAATAACATCATTTGTTCATCTGTCCAATTTTATGACATTTTCCTAGTCTTGCAGCCCATTAACCAGGATTTCCCAGGGGCACCCAGAAAACACAGGAAAAGCCTTTGGCACTGCTTCTCCGAATCCTGTTCTAATAACCCCAACATTTGAAAACAAAACCAAGTGGTTAAAAGGGCTGGAGGGAGCAGGTTACTAGGATCAGACAGCCAAAAGGGGCACAGAAACCAGGACTAACGCAAGTCATCTTACTATCCTAACACAATTTCAGGACACTAAAATAAAAGGATGTGGGAGCTTCAAGATTTGACACTTTCTTCACTGAGGGGGTACAAGGGGTGCCTTATCAAGCATTTCAAAACAGTCCCTTAAAGGTATACTATTTTCATAACAGGAAAAGCAAAGAGGCAAAGGCTGGCTCTAGCTAAGAGTCCAGCAGAGTGGGGAGTAGGGAGAAAAAGCCAAAGGACACAGAGTACATTCTGCCATAAATGGTAAAATCCACAATCTTGCCACAACACTATGGCCCTCTCTCAGCTCTTTCATATGTAAACTGGGGATCTCAGTTTCTGTGTCTGCACGTTTGGCACGTGGGTGGAAGGAGCCCAGAAATTTAATATGTACTCCTCAAAAGTTTAAACCAATAGTATTAATACAAGTAACCGCCCACCATGGATTGAGCTCTTGCTAAATAGCAGCCCCTGCTAGATGCTTTTTTCTTTTCTTTTTTTTTTTTTTCCTCTTTAATACTGTAGTCATCACAACTCATTTTCCAAATGAGGAAATTGAGGCTCTGAGAGGTTAAATGTCCTTCCAAAGAGCTGGCTAGCGTGGGAATCAGCCATAGGCCGGGCCAGTGAGGCGGGAGGTTGGGGGCGGGGTCAGCACTGGGCAGGGGTCAGCCCCACGGGAGGGCTGCGGGTCTGAAGGCAGGGGACAGGGTCAGCCAGCCCGCAGGGGTCCGCACCTGCAACCCAGGAAGAGGTGGTTGGCCCACACCATGGAGAGGGACAGCAGCTGGTCCAGGCGGCCACCGCCATCGGGCGGGTCGCGATAGTCGGGCAAGTGGCGCAAAATGAATTCCATGCGAGCCTTCCATTGCTTCTCACTCTCCGAGTAAGAGCGGAACTGCTCCGCGAAGTCGGCCGCCTGCCGCACCCCCGAAACTAGCTTCTCCACCGCGGCAGCCGCCTCGCCACCCACCATGGCGCCCTCCGCCGCTGAGGGCCGCACCCACCCGCCGCCTTCCCGACTCGCATCGCGCCACCTCCCCGCGGCTAGAGGGGCCCCGGCGGCGCGCGACTGCTCCGGACGACAGCCTGGAGCGCCCTCGCCGGGAGCGGCGGCCTCATCGGCTCTGGCCTCTCAGACCTCCCCAGCCCCCTGCGCCTGGCGTGCGTCTACCTGGGGGCTGCAGGGGCCGTTCTCAGTCGACCCCGCGGGGAACCGGTAGGGAAACTGAGGCCCCCAAGCACCAAGACGGAGTGTCCCTTTCCCATTGGGCAGCTGGGTGCCAGCCTACAGAGCTGTACTGTGACCTTGCCCTGAGGGCTCCCAGGGCACCCGGCGGCACACGGGTGCCCTCAGTTCTGAGGGCTTTATCTGTGTAGCTCCTGGGGTGTGCTTTTGATTAATTCTCAGTCGTCCCAACACTCTTTCCGGTTGTGGCCCGTCTTCCTGGAGCGAGCCATTCGTCCAGTTGAATAGCTGCCAGGCCCTTTGCTAAATGCTGGGGATGCAAAAGAGCTAACTCCGATCCCTGGGCTAATGAACTTTGCCGTCTGCTGGGGGAGGCAAACACTGGTGAAATAATTGCTTGAGTGAAAAAGTTCAGCGTTGGCAGATGTTCATGAGGAGAGGTCCAGAGTGTTAGCAGCATGAATAAGCAAGGGACCTGATCCAGACTTGGAGATGAGGGAAATGTTGCTGGAGAGCAGAGGGATGAATTAGGAGTTAAACATGTAAAGAGAAGTAGGCCCTGGCAAGACTCGGCCTGGCCTGGTAAAAGAGAACACCAAGATGTGTGGAACAGGGTCCTAGAGTGGGGGACAGTGGAGGAGGGAGGCTGCAAAGATCAGCAAGGATAGTGGGCCATGGTAGGGACTGTGGTCCGGATCCTAAGAGGAATGCGAGCTTCTGAAGAATTTTAACCGGAGCAATGACAACCCCTGTTTCTTGAAAGGAGCCAGAATAGATGTGTCCACATGAGGTGAGCAGGTGAGACTAGCATAACTCTGGAGTCCGTTCAAGGGCCAGGTAGCAGGTCCACTGAGAGAAGGGCTTACTTGTAAGTGGTGAATTTCCCATCCCTGGAAGCATTCAAGTACAGGACTTGGGAAATCTCTTGAGCCCCCATCACCCTTGAAAGATTATTGACCTAAAAGGATGCCCCCTCATCCCTCATCAGTTATGGGGAAAGTATAGAGCCAGGCCTAGAATTCATGATCCAGGTCTCCACTGCAGTATATTGTGAGTAGGATCCAGGGTTCAGAGGCAACTGTGCTGTCTGCTGCTTCTGCAGCTTCTGATGGGATGTCAGGACCCCAGCAGGCAGAAACCCCATGGAAATACCAGGCAGTGTAATGAGAAGTCTGTGCCTGCAGACCCAGCACCAGGCTCAGTGAAGTCCCATTATGGTTAGCAATAAGGAGGCATGCCACTCTCACCCTGGCAAGCAGGGAGAATATGAACAGTCTCAGCTTCTCCACAGCAGTCAGAAATAGGTGCCCACAGCTGGGGCTGTCAAAATTGAGTGCAGATCACACTCCCTGAGGGATTTGTCGAAATAGCAGATTCCCAGGCCTGTCACTGGATGCTCAGAATCAAGGTTCCAGGTAACTGATTGCATCTGCCATTGACCCAATTTTGAAAGGCATTGATGAGGCTCCTCTGAACCAAATTCTTGGTCACCTGCTATACAGGTGAGAAGCTGGTCCTGAAATAGGAACCCAGGCTTTGTTATCAGCAGCTGTAGCCACACAGGTAACTTGGCCACTGGGGTGGGAAAAAGCTATGGGGTCATCCAGCAATAAGCTTATTTAGCATCATTTGGATAATGATGGGACATCTGCACATACATATATTTACCTACATGCAAATATACTCAAACATGCATGCGAGTTATAAGAACCCAAAAGTGCATAAATAGGTATTATTAAAAATAATATGATATTGTTACATTATTCTTTCAAGATGTGAAATTGTCTAGAAATGTTAGTATTAACATTTTACAAGGCCCTGTCACAAGTCCAGTTGTTGCCCAGGTTATTATTTCTAACATGTTGTTATGATTCAGATTTCCTCAGAATGGAGTACATATATAGACAAGGATCAATTTTCCTACCTCAACTTTTTTTCTTTTTAAGATTTATTTATTTATTTTAGAGAAAGCATGAGACAGCAGGGGAGGGGGAGGGAGAGAGAAAATCTCAAGCAGATTTCTCACTGAGCCTAGAGCCTCATGTGGGTCTCCATTTCATGACCCTGAGATCATGACGTGAGCCAAAATCGAGTCAGAGGCTTAAACAACTGAGCCACACCAGTGCCCCTTTACCTCATTTTTTTTTAAGATTTTATGTATTTAGGGGTGCGTGGGTGGCTCAGTGGGTTAAAGCCTCTGCCTTCAGCTCAGGTCATGATCGTGGGGTCCTGGGATTGAACCCCACATTGGGCTCTCTGCTTGGCAGGAAGCCTGCCTCCCCCTCTCTCTCTGCCTACCTCTCTGCCTACTTGTGATCTCTGTCTGTCAAATAAATACATAAAATCTTTAAAAAAAAAGATTTTATGTATTTATTTGATAGATAGGGAGAACACAAGCAATGGGAGTGGCAGGCAGAGGGAGAGGAAGAAGTAGGCTTCCCACTAAGCAGGGAACATGATGTGGGACTCGATCCCAGGACCCCAGAATTATGACCTGAGCCGAAGGCGGTGCTTAACCAACTGAGCCACTCAGGTGCCCCTACCTCATCTCCATAAACAAACAAACAAACAAACAAACAAAAACTCTTTATTGGGATTGAATTCACATGCCATAAAAGTCACCCATTTAAAGTATATAATTCAATGGTTTTAGTATATTCACAGATTTGCACAACTATCAACACAAGCTGAATATAGAACATTTCATCACCCCCAAAAGATACCCCATACCCTTTAGCAATTCCTCCCCATTCCCTCCAGCACCTGGCAACCACTAATCTATTTTTTTGTCTCTATGGGTTTCCTCTTCTGGACATGTAATATAAATGGAACCGTATGGCATGTGGTCTTTTGTGTCTAGCTCTTTCACTTCCATCATGTTCTTGAGATTCCTCTATGGTGTAGCTTGTGTCAGTTCTTCATTCCTTTTTGTGGTCAGAAAACACTCCATTATATGGATATGCCTCATTCTGTTTATCCATTCATTATTTGAGGGGCATCTGGGTTGTTTCTACATTTGGACTATTATGAATAATATTTCTGTGAATATTCATGTACACATTTTTGTGTGGATATACGTTTTCAATTGTCTTAGATATATAGTGGGTTGTTGGGTCTGTGTTTAACCTTTTGAAGGACTAGCAGATTGTTTGCCACAGTGTCTGCACCTTTCTAGATATTCACCAGCAATATATGAGGGTTCCAGTTTCTCCAGTCCTTGCTATTGATTACTAATTCCCCTCCCACCCTTTTTTTTACTACAGTCATTTTAGTGGGCACAGAGTTGTATCTCACTGTGGTTTTATATCTCCCTAAGAACTAATGATATTGAGCATCTTTCATGTGGTTACTGGCCATTTGCCTATCTTTGGAGAAATATCTATTCAGATACCTTGCCATTAAGAAAAAGAAAAATGTTATTTTTTATTTTTTTTTTAAAGATTTTATTTATTTGGGGGCGCCTGGGTGGCTCAGTGGTTAAAGCCTCTGCCTTCGGCTCAGGTCATGATCCCAGGGTCCTGGGATCGAGCCTCACATCGGGCTCTCTGCTCAGCGGGGAGCCTGCCTCCTCCTCCTCTCTCTCTCTGCCTGCCTCTCTGCCTACTTGTGATCTGTCTGTGAAATAAATAAAAATCTTTAAAAAAAAAAAAAAAGATTTTATTTATTTGACAGACAGAGATCACAAGTAGGCAGAGAGGCAGGCAGGGGGTGGGGTTGGGGAAGCAGGCTTCCCGCTGAGCAGAGAGCCCAACGTGGGGCTCGATCTTGGGACCCTGAGACCAGGACCTGAGTCGAAGGCAGAGGCTTTAAACCCCTGAGCCACCCAGGCACCCAAATGTTATTTTTTAAGAACAGTTTTAGGTTTACAGCAAAAATAAGCAGAAGGTACAGTTTCCATCTCCTCCTTACCTCCCCTCCCTCCAACTATCAACATCTAGTACCCTACATTTGTGACCTTGACACATCATTATCATCCAAAGTCCATAGTTTACATTAGGGTTTACCCTTGAAGTTGTACATCCTATGGATTTTGTTGAATGTGTAGGACATGTATTCACCATTATAGTAACATACAGAATAGTTTTGCTGCCCTAAAAATCCTGTCTTTTGAAGAGCAAAAATTTTAAATTTTGATGAAATACAGATTTATATCTTCTGAGTCATGCTTTTTGGTCTAAGAAAACTTGGCCTAACCCAATGACATAAACGTTTTCTGTTTTCTTCTGAAAGTTTTAGGTTTTACATTTAGACGTATGATTCATTTCAAGTTAATTTTTTTATATGATGCAAGGTATGGGTTGTCAAGAGGGATAAAGTATATAAGACTTTACCCTACTTGCAAGCTAACAAGTTACTGTGCCACAGTTTCAACGGCTGCTGATAAAAGACAGAAGCCTCCTACACAGAGATAAAGAACATTCTGACTCACAGCACAGGGAGCAGCATGGACTTCAGGTTTATGTTGGTTCCCCTTGTGCACAAGTTCCACAGGAGCTATGCTAAAGGGTCAGGTGGATGAAGTACAAACAGGTTCACACACTGGGTTTGTATCACAGCTGAGGAATCCTAATCTTAGGAAACAGCAGTCTTTTCATAAAGGACTGCATGCAAACGTGCCCGACCTTTGGCCTAGAATAATACATTACATTTTTAATCTGGACAGTAAACAAACTTGCCCTTTACTCTGAAGGTAGACACTATCTCTGTTTCATGGACAAACATCCTTCAAACGACAGTCTGCAACAAATGGACAGTTAGTATCTAACTCTTAGGATGTGAAGATGCATGACAGACCTACTGAAAAGTATGAGAATTGTCTTCCAACAAAAGTTCAGTTTTTTGGTTTTTTTTTTTTTGCATATGGTCATCTAATTGGTCCAGTACGATTTGTTGAAAAGAGTTTTTTCCATTCAATTATCTTAATATCCTTGTA